CGAGATTCGAATACGCCATTATACAGTTGGGCGTTCTTGACAGCAGAGACACGCCGCGGCGCGCACTCAGTACTAATGGACAATGAGATAAATCGTGTGTCACTGATTGCTATCGCATTGACAAGGCGGTGACATTACTACGGAGTTTTAGCAGAGTTGCGCTTGGGCATGTTTTTCGCATTTTCGTTTCGTTTTTTCATAATCATCCTTGATTTCCATAATCTTCTCATGTCACTTGTAACAGTAGATTTCGTCATAGGAACAATACAGAAGCTCCTTCCTGCGTCTCGGAATTCACGAGTATCGCCACCGACTTGTGATTGGAGAAATATGCATAGGGCCTTAACGCTATGAGAATACGTTTGTACAGTAATCTTCAGTGTTCGACTAGAAATATAGAAACAAATAGGCTATAATCTGAATTGATGGCCAACAGTTTTTTGTAAATTCCATTTTGTTGTATTACGATTAATATGTTTGTGCCCGAAGAAACTGAGCAGAGTCGTCAACTTTAACAACCCTCCATTTGCTCTTCCGCGCAGTTTGCGTTTGCTTATTATTTTATTTCTTTGCTTTTTGTCTTCTCTTTGGTCGAGGGCTAGTACTGTTTAGCTGTGGATCTGTTATTTGTCGTTTAGGGTTCGATTTTTTGCTAACCTCTGCAGTTCTTAGTCTGGGATGTCTACTACACGTGTGGCTGTTTCTTTGGGCGGCTTGCGGTTTTATAGGTGGATTATAACGGTGCTGCTGGAGCCGCGTTTGACTCTTTGGATATGGCTGTTTGCTGGAGCTTCTCAGAACCTGTGGAAACCAGGAGATCTGCGGAAATTGGTTTCACTAATAGCGTCGGTCGTTACTCGTGTATGTCGTGATATAGGCCGGGTTTGCCTTTGTTTCTTTTTGGTTTCGAGCAAGTTTTGTTTGTAATGCCAAAGCAATTTAGTATACATTTGTCTGTGGAAAGTATTTTTCATGGTGTTGGTCTGCTATATCTTGTGTTTAACTGTAAGTGCATGTATAAATATTTATTTGAATATGCCGTTTAATTAGGAAGGAAAATTACTATATTGATATTTTTATATACATTAGATGTATTGGTTTGCCATATTGGTTTCTATAACATTGGCAATGGGTCTGACAGTCGTATATGCTGTGTGATAGACGGTGTTAGCTTTCGTATTTACATGCTTGTCTCTTAGTACTCCACAAGATTCAGTTAAATTAATGAGATGGCAGTGATAAAGAAAACATGTACTGCATGGTCAATGTTTATGGAGAATGTAAATGTTCTACAGGTCGGGTTTCAAATTGTGAAATATGCTGGTGTGATTGTCAAGAAATAGTGTCTGTAACCCAGTTTGCGTGGAGAGCGATTTAAAACGCAGGAGCGAACGGGCATATACGATCGAGCGTTGTTGTGCTTTATATCCTGTCAGTTTTGCTGTAGGGTAGCCAAGCATGTACTGCTCGAAGCTGTCCCTGTGATACAGTAAGCTGCAAAAGAGCCGTAATTGCGTTGGGGCTCGACATTACTCTGATCACCGGCCCGCCCCCGCCGTCCATGTTAAGCAGGGCTTTCGGGCGAGAGCTGGCCTTTGGGCGCTGTGAGTGTCGCGTTGTGGGAGGGGTCCGGGGCTTGAGGCTCGTAGAGGTGCCACCGTCTGTGTGTAGCGCCGGTCGGTCCTATCCGTTCTTCGCAGGCTATTCGCGCACCCGCTCTCACTATTTCGCACGGGGAGAGGAGGGGTTCGCCCATTCGGCGGCCGTGTTGCCGCGCGCCGCGCTCTCGTGCTTTTGTTGTGTGTAGTGTACTACTTGAGGGGCTGTGTGATAGCCGTGAAATTGCTGGCTATCCTCGGTGCGGGCCGTTGCCATCACTGCGGGCCCGGCGGCATGCTGCAGCGCGTGCGCGGCCCCCGCGGCCCCGCGCAGCGCAGGAAAGCGGGGCGCGGAGGCGGCGAGCGCAGGCGAGGCGGGAGGTGCTGGGCGGTGGTATCTGTTTTGGGTTAGGCTTTGTGGGAGAGTATGAAGGGTACCGCGTGTCGCTTCCTCCACCGCAGGTGTTGGGTATGTGTGTTGGCTAGGGATATGTAAAAATGATTTGCTAGGGCTGGAAAATTGTTTTGGCCGTACTGCTGGTGTGAACCCTTGGACGCCTCTTTTAGAGTAAACGATCCGGATACTTGTGGCCATTATGCACTGGTATGGTAAGGGCACGCTTAATTGCAGAGATACTATGAGTGTTCTAACTTAGTAAGGGAATAAGGCTATAGGATAGAGTTTTTTTTTGGTCGATTAATCAGCTATTAAGTGTGGTCTATTGCACTCGATGATAAGTGTGCTTTTCTATCGTTTATTTTTCATAGGGTATCATAATACTACTCTCTTTCGTCATCGTCAGCGTAATGGCATCGAGATGAATATATTCTAGCTTATTGCTTTTGGGTCATAATCACATGTAATTTCGGTACGACTATCTAAAGATGTAATTCTCAAAAGCTCAGTATTTGACATAACTGATATTTTTTATTAATTATAACATTTTTTCTTTCGATAGATGCGCAGTGACTATTCAGGAGCCTCTCTCTCTTCGGTCGGCTCAGTCGCCTCGCGTCTTTTGTGCGCCTGTGTTCTCCTCGGAGTTTCGGGGTTCTGTCGGCCCGCCCCCCCGCCCGGGCGTCTCCTCTGCTTTTCACCTGCTCCTTGTTTTTTTTGTGTTTCGTTCCTGTCGTTTGTTCTCCCCCCTCTGTTTGGTGCACTGCGCCTCCGCCGGTTGTGTTTTTTCGTTTTTGCTTGATGTGTGGTTGTTTGGTTGGTCTGTTTTTTTGGTTGTCTTTTGTTTGTTTTTTTTTGTTTTCTTTGGTTGGTTTTGTTTGTTTTTTTGTTGTTTTTGTTGTTTGTTGTATTGTTTTAGGTTGGGTTTTGTGGTTGTTTTATTATGTTTTGATCTGGTTTGTGTTATCTCGCTTTCCATATTGAACGAGTGCGTTAAAAACTCAGCAGAGCTATCTGGTGCTGCACCCAAGAGTGAGAAAGAGGGTATTTTTACCGGCTGAGTGTCTGTCGCGCGCTTAAATTGACTGCTCGTATTTTTCTGCGCCTGCAGGCGCGGTGGCGGGTCGTCGATGGGGCGGCGCGAGGTGTGGCGGCGTCGGGGGCTCTTGGCGGCCGGGCGTCGATTGGGGTTTCCTGTCGGGGGCGGGCAGCGACGCACGTACACGCGGTGGCTGGCGTCGCCGTGTAAGCGCGCGCCATTGTTTCTTATTGTTGCTGCGCGGGTCGCCGCTCATATCGATTAGAGGTTTGGGCCAATGCCGCGACGAGGCCGGCTCGGATGGGGAGGGCCGGGGGCGCGGGGGGCAGATGCGTTGTGGCGACGGCGCGGAGCAAGGAGGGGCTGTGAGCGGGGGAGGGCTTGCAGAGTGCGCGCGAGGTTGGGGGAAGAGACTCGGCTGGCGCGGTGGGGGAGTTCAACGGGGAACGAGTGCCACGAAGAGTGCATCAATTCGCTGTTGTACGTACGTTTTGCACTGTGGCTGACCAGGAGGAGGTGAGGGGACTGGAGATCAATTATATGAAGGTGCGGGGTATGTCCTTCGCGTTCTATCGAACACTGCACACTACAATAATAGTGGTCATAACGCTCAATGTCGCAGCGATACACGGACTATTACAGGAGGTTTATCAATTCGGGGGGTTTCTAGCGAACAGGAGGTGATACGTGGGTGCGCTGAGAGTACCGTGGATCTCGATGTACGCAATATTTCGCCGTTTCAATAAGGAAGGCGTATATGTCGGGGTGGTGGGGTTGTCCTGCGAACTGCTTGTTAGACAACAGTGAGATTGTTTGCTTTTTTGGCGGGCGTCCCTCTTGTCGGAAAACACGATTCGAGAATTGGTTCGAGCACTTATAAAGATTAAAAAGTCTTACTACGGACTTGAAAAATTTTGTCGCAATGATGAATTGGCTTTGCGTGGTCTTTTAGGAGAAATGAAATAGGACATGGAACATGATTCTTCTAGTGGGTGGCTACGACATACGCGGGGAAGCGAAGAACTCATTTTCCCGAAAGTATATTTCTTTGTGTAGTGGAGAGACTTGCCAGTAATCTATGCTTAGGTATTTAAATGCCAATAATTGGTGCTACCTGACTTTCACTTATCAGGCAGAACGCTAATGTGTTACACGCGATATCGGGTGATGTTGGCCAAGTGCAAGCTCTCCTGAGGACGGCGGGGGGGGAGGGGCGCGGGCGGTCACGCGGCGGCGCGCGTGCGGTAGTGCGGCGGGCGCGCCGGGCCACGATACCCGCGCCCTCCGCAATGGCCTGGGCCGCGCGTCGGCGCCCGCAGCGCTCATTGGATGCGATAGGCAGGCGGGGACGTAGCGGGGCGGCGCGGGGAGGGAGGGCGGACGCGTGCGGAGGAGGGTCATGCGCAGACAGCACGCACTCGCTCTCCGCCGCGTGTCGGCAGCGCATTCGGTTTGCGTTTGTATAGAAGGGACAGCTTCGGCAGTTACTGCTTGGCTACTACTAGCAAAACTGCTGATTATGCCCACACGCTCGATGAGGTATTGCGTTCGTTTGCGTTTGATTCGCTTGCAAATGGTTTCGACACTATCTCTTGCATCACCCAGTCTTCAATTTGAAACCCGACCTGTGACATTTAATCTCTATTCTGCCATGCAGTACTGTTTTGTTTTATGTGGAGTCTATTGTACTGATTCTTGGTGGAGTTCCTGGGCTGCTGTAATACGAAGTTAACCGTTTTATACAGTTAACGACGGTGCCCTTGCCTATGTTTGTTAACCAATATGGAATACATATAATGTATTCATATCATTATAGTATGTTTCCTTACAACTTTTACGGCATTTTCTATACTTTTCATTGGCACTTACGTTAACAGTATAGCATACCTAGCATTGTAAATATATTTTCAGCAGTTTTAAATTGCTTTGCTTTCCAACAACTTGATTGAACCGAAGGAAACAAAAGGGCAACGCCAGTTGAGTCAGGAGTTAGCGCGAGCTCATTGTGAAGACCATTTCCGCAGCTTCTCCGGTTTCCACAGGTTCTGAGGAGGCTCAGCAACTATCGAGAGTCACGCGGCGCGTCCAGCCCCGTTTTCCACCTGTAACCGCAGCTTCCGGCCAAAGACGCACACGTGTGCATGCAGCACGTGCAGCGGGGTAGTTAAGAGCTTACGCCAGTCGTCGCCGCTGAGCAGTCTGTCGCCAAGGAACAAAGCCAAAGACAACTAAATAAAAGCAAAACGCAACTGCGGGAAGGCAAGGGAGGGTTGTTAACAAGTTGACGACTCTGCTCGTTACTTCGGGACGAAATATTTCGTAATACAACAAAATGGAATTTAAAAAATGTTGGCCAATCATTCAGTTATAGCTTTTCTTTCCTTTTCTATGTCGACCCACTGAAGATTATGTAAACGCTGATTCTCATAGCGTTAAGGCCCTATGCATATTTCTCAATCACAAGTCGGTGGCGGATACTCGTGAATATTCGAGACGCAGGAAGGAGCTTCTGGTATTGTTCTCTATGACGACATCTACTGTTACAAGTTGAACATGAGAAGATTATGGAACATTCAAGGATGATTATGAAAAACGAAACGATGAAATGGAAAAACATGCCCAAGGCGCAACTCTGCTACAACTCCCGTAGTAATGCTCACCCGCCTTGTCAATGCGAGTAGCAAGTCAGTGACACACATTTTATCTCATTGTCAATTATACGTGAGTGCGCGCGCGCGCGTGTCTCTCTGTCAAGAACGCCCACTGTATGCGGTATTCGAATCTCGTCGATCCATGTGAGATCAGTGACAAAGCGTGTTTACGGCAGAATTTTTCGCGTCTTCTCCCATTCCTTCTATTTTCCGTTCACCAATTGCTCATCCATCATTGAAATCACTCCATCATCCACTATTTCATCTCAGGCACGGAGTAAAAACCGGTGGTCCCTATGAGAGAAAGCGTCGCCCCCGGGTACAACACATGCGCGCGCGGCGGCACCGCAGGTGGCGTGGGACGAGGGCGGGGCGCGGCGGGGGTCGAGCCGTGGACCCTAAGTGTCAGCGTCCGGCCGCGGGCCTCGCATGCGCATAATGATGCGCGCAGGGGCCCGCGGGCGCCGCCGCAGCCGCCGCCGCCGTCGCCGCCGTCGCCGGGCGCTCGCCCTAGTTGGCCATTTCCCGCCGGACTCGCCACCCTCGGCTGTTTCGTAACGCGGCGGAGCGCGGGCGGGGTCCGCCTGCCGAGCGCGCTCGTAGAGGGCTCATGTCCGCCAGACGAGCGACAGTTCCCAAATTGAAGCCCGGAATCCTCAGTGGCTATCTGTGGAGAAAATGTGGTTCGACTGATGCGATTACCACTTACATAATACCTTTATGTGTAAAAGTTGATACTTAGGCATAAACTGGAGAAATATTTTTATTAAAAATTTGTTTTCTTAATATCGAATAGTACCCACTTTTTTGAGGTTCGGATCATAAATTAAAACTGAATACTATAATATGAGTAATTTGTGAGTCGGAAAGGCTTACTATAATTATTTAAACCCACAGCAATATTTTATTCTAATTATTA